TATATATATTGGATTGTCCGGAAAGTTCGTGCCGATGTTGAAGGAAAAAATTGAAACGCAGAAGATTTAAATTTTAGTATAGATTTATTAAATTATATAGGTTAGGCAGCACGAACTTTCCGCACAACCCCCAATATAATATAGACACAATATTATAATCTTTTTAGACACTGCGTGTCGAATTGTTTTTCCGGATATAAACGTAATTAAAACTATTCTAGTAATCGCGAATTAAATTGACAAGCAATTTAATAATTTGACCATTTAATAATTTGACAGTTGCTATCATCAAACATCATGTTATAAAGATGTTAATATATTGAAACTGTTCATAAATTTATTGCGATAAATATTACCTTGGCCGGGATTTGAACCCAGATATCTTGTGGTGATCTAATGATTTAGGATTCGCGTACGGAATACAAGAGATGCGGGTTTCTGGAATCAGAATTCCAATTAATGCAACTAGATTTTTTTTCAAAATTTCTGATTGAAAATGAAAAAACAATCAACATTTTCTGGTTAACTTTACTATACTTATAGTTGAGAAAACTCATGGATCAGAATCTTCTAATTAATTCATTTTCAACTAAAAATTTTTTTTGGTGCATATACATCGCACTCATTAATAGCCACATAATCACTTTTCAGTATTTTGTTCATGATAGTCAGACATAGACAATTATACATAAGAGAGAGGAGAAAAAGACGTGAATATTCGGCAGACAACATATGATACATTATATAAACCACATATATCGCCACGGAAACCTATATTAATGACAATTCTATAATTTCGATACATAGAATTGCGCGTTTGTTACACCGTATAATGTTACCTTTGACTATCAGTACCTAATTTGATGCCCGTAGGGAGATCAAAACTCTAACTGTATAAACAGAACAATCTTTGTTTTCTATTGTTATAATGAAATATTATTTAAGAAATGTAAATGATGAATATTGTCGCCTTTACAGTTGGAAAATTTGCATTAAATTTAATATTTCAATTTGAATATTCTAAATGGTCTACTCAAATTTTTTAGTTAATTTAACACAAAATAAATATGTTGTAAATGTTATATGAAAAATTAATACATAAACGTAACACTGACATAATTTATAAACAATCATATTTCTCCATTAAAATTAATATATTTTATTCATTTATCTTATAACGTTTTAAAAAATATTATTTATGTTATTTGTTCACTTATATGAAATTGTATTATTTTAACACTAAGAAATATTGAACATCAATTTAACAGAAAATTTTAATTTTTTTCAAACACAATCGTATATTAAATTATTGATCGAATATATTAAAAATTCGACACAAAATTTTAATATTGTGTTGTTCGAAGTGCATCGTTTCTAACACAAATAGAAAATATTTTTTATGGTGTATTGGAAATGAACTTTAAACATGATTCGCATTATTAGCCAAAATAAAAATTACTTTGAATTATAAAATATATTACAATTTATGCAAAATGTCAAATCTTTATTTTTTAAAAATCGGATTGTTTTCTTGTATTTTGCGAAAATAATTCTCATGAACTTAGGAAGGTATTCTATAGACATGCTATCTGTACTACGCTATTTTAGGTATTACGCAAATGACTGCATTAAATTCGAGCGAGGAACCAAATCGCGCTACTGTAATACGTATTAAATTGAAATAATACACACTAACTAAATTGAAATTAACTCCCTAAACACTGGTAAATTCATTATCGGCACGTAATAGTATCGAAATGCGCGCTGACCGATCCATTTCGCATATCAAAGGAAGTATTAAATCCCGACGACCAATCGCTCTATTACGCTTAACATCAATACCCATCATTTCGATGCAACCGTATGATATATATTGACCGTGCGTTTGTTCACTGGCGGCACCACGGCGAAATATCGTCGCGGATGAAAACGAATGGGAAACGGAGCGGAAAAGCGCGTAGACATCGGGCGGCGTGCCAAGTGGCGCCGTTCCTTTAATTGTTAGCATATTTTAACCGTAATTTTCCTCTGTTCCAGTTGTCTGAGCCCGAGATCTGCGTTCTTCTACGAGTTCCCTCCTAACGGTAAGTCGCGCCTAGACTTCGCAGCTTCATTTGTCTTTGTTTAAGATTTAGGAGGCGCAAAAGAGAAAACTCGAACCTCCGTCACTTCCATCTTTTCATTTGTG